GATTTAACTTGGTGAGACGTCCGGGTTTGGAGTGGTTTTGGAACTACTACTACTACTACTACTACCACTACCACTACCACTACCACTACCACTACCACTACCACTGCCACTGCCACTACCACCACCACCACCACCACTACTACCACCACTACTACTACTACTACTACCACCACCGCCCCATTACTACTGGTAGTTAGTCATACTACAATTACTGTTATTCTGAATAACTACGACACCCAAAACAACAACATAATCCGTTTGAAATATCCAGATTCCAAACTCAACAAATAAAAATGATGTGTTCTGTAGTTAAGTGAGAATCATACGATCAATCTAAATGCCAATTCTCTTAAAATAAAAAGATCAACGTCAGAATATCTATGATGGCACAATTACAAAAGACATAAGAATACTTATATCGAAAATACAGAGAATATGCCAAATTTCGTCTTTGCTTTCATGACCTTCAATGCAATCATAGCCTTCGGCATCTTCTTATGGGGCTCCGCGATCATCTCCGCGTCCCAAACACGAAAACCTCCATCTCGGCACCAAGGTCCATACCTCCGGCCTCGGTTGACTAACAATCAAGGATTTTCGGCCGAATCTTTGCGGAATAGTATCGATTCCAGGCAGACTAGCAAACTTCCGCCCGTCCCCCTTCCTCCGCCCCTCCAGCCCCCAACCTCCATCCCTCCTCCTCCACCCTCAGGCCCTACCTTCCATCCCCTTCAGCCTCCTAAATCCCCCCCCCCTCCCTTCCCTTCAGCAACTCCTGCTGCCTCTGCTGCGCTAGTGACGCCGTAAAGAAACAGCTGAGCAATTCGTCGGCCCTCTTTATTTGCCGCCGGGCCGAGGCGGACGACGCGAATCGTTTACAATTATAGCAAGCAAGTTCGTCAGGATCGATACATGGTATTTGCGAGTTGAGCTGCTGGAGCTTACACGATGTGGTTAATTAACGCCCATCCTAATTCCGACTCTGCAACTTTATTTGATCTGTCACTTGTCGTGCATGGTATGCGCGTACTATGCAGATGTTCTGCAGGCCCGCGATTGGCGGGTCATCGCGCGAGTTCACATACTCCGCCGCACCATTGAAAGCTGCAGTTTACGCCTGTTGACATTACTGTACAGCTGATCTCCAAGAGTAATAATAACAAGAATAAGAACAAGAATAATGATGATCATTACAGTAAGAAGAAGAATTAAGCCTCAATGAGCCAGAAGGCCTCGGGCCTAGACTGACACTTGCTGTTTCATGTCATTAGTAGGGATTGGTGGAGAAACCCCGTTCCAGCTGAAAGGGAATCTGAAGAAATGCGAACGAACGGTGGAGTACAGCTGGACCACTCCTTTTTAAAACCCGATATTCGCGGGCACTTGTAAGAAAACTGTCTACTCACTGACTCGCAACAGTTTTCCGAGATGCAACTGCACCAACTTCACACCCATGTGTCGCTGCCACACATGCGACGAAGGAATGTACATGGTTTAACACACGTTCACCCACAGGTTACCGAATCTCAGATCTTTGGGCTCGCTGGCTTGCTGCAAGTTTGCGCCGACACAACTTCAGCGACCGGGTATGGGATTAGGGAGTAGGCCCCGAACAAAGCGCAAACCGCAAATAAAGCCACTCGTATGCCGCAGCATTGGTCACCCACCAACAACTTCGAAAACATTCAGTCGGCGACCACTACGAACTTCCGACAACCTATCTCGTGTAAGAACCTATGACAAACAGTGGCGAGCTTATTAGACCCTCAACTGAAGCACCCGCCTTTCCAGCAGATCTCTGTCGGAGGAGGTGGGTCAGCCCTCGAAGGTGCAGGTTCGCGGACGTTCTCCGACCTTCGGATGCTCAACATCTCCCGCTGAGGATGCAAATGTCCTATCAGAAGTGCATCCCTCGCCGGAAACAACGCCGTTTTAGGAGAATACGTCAGAATGCCGGGCTCTGTCTGACGCTGAGGATGGTTCCCTCTAAATCTAAAACCGAGAGTGGGGGTTGTAGCTACCACGGTAGGCTGTAGCAATGCTCAGGATCGCGACTGTGCAGGTATCGGAGGTATCGGGAGGTCAAGGAAGGCAGAAGGCTGTTTACGACCAGATCACAAGTCCTGAAGCCCACGCCACGGCTTGGTGCATCTCTTTACACGGGTTTGTACAGGGTTTGGCGTGGTCACAGCCTACAGAGTGACATCGCTCAAGAGCTTGAGCTGGTCTCGTTGCAGTTGCCAGCTATAGTCTGCAACTGCACTTTCACCGCCGCGGCTTAAGCGCGGAGGCGTGGCTATGGTTCCAAATTTGTATCTGTACATTCTCGTGATTGCAGGCTTTTCGCCATGGCGCTGAGCTCCTCGATTGCAACAAAGCACAAGGCGACCGACACCAGTGGCACTGTCAAGGCCGCTGGAAAATAGCCGCCAGACATTGCCGCAAGTACACGCAAGCCGACATAGACTGCAGTTGCTGCGGAAGCTCCGCAACTTACCAAGAGGATTACTAAACGATAGCTTTGGGACCGGTATCGGAGCGAGATCCACAGTGCAATCAAAGCAGCGTTGTAGCCAAAGAAGCCGTCCTGAATCTCAGAGTCTCTTCCGCCACATCCCACACCCCAAAGTGCACCGACACAGGAGCCAAGCAGGGATGCTAGTGCAGAAAAAGGGCTAGCCAGATAAATTCCCAGGGTAATGAGGACGCCACTGTACACGCTGGTGACAAAAAACATCTGTGCCACTCCGTTCAAGGTCGCCAGAGGCAGGTTCATCCCAGCAAGCATGGAGAAGTCACTTCTCCAAGTGAAGACACCCTTGCCGTGTCCCTCTGGATGACTACCACCATGCTGTTCAATCCACACATGAACGCAGCATAATGTCACCAGGGACACCAGGTTGAAGGCCAAGGTAAGTTGTGCCTTCAGAATCCTGCTTATCCCAACAAAAACCACTGCTGAAATGCCAGCGCAGAAAATCGTCAGCAGCAGGCTCAACAGGAAGTTCTCGATGAATACGGAAAAGCTACAGCCGACAAGGACACCGTTGTAGCCAAGCATGCCTTCCTTCCTTGCATCTCTATCTAACCCCAAACATGCAGCGACCCCTGTCGAGGAGAGGCAGCCAAAGATGGACAAGACTAGGGCAGCCCTTGGAGTGCCAAGCAGAATCGCCACCAGGAAGAGCAGTGCCGAGGCTGAATTTTTGACGAAGCATACCTGAGACACTCCACTGAGGCCATCAATTACAAACTCTGGCATCAAGGAGGCACTGGCGCTTTCTGCACCACTTTCATCTGTGGCCGACTTGCAACACCACCACGGACACGAAGAGCACCACCTGTGTTTGATGTCCTCACCCGAGCTTGCACTGCCCTGGCTTTCTACCTCTTCCCCCGATGAGCCCCGACCAATTGCCTGAGGATCCGAGGTCACAGCCATGTCAGCACCATTCGCTGAGCCAGTGCAGAGCTTTGAGCACTGAAGCGATGCCAGAAAAACACAAGCTTTGCCGGTGGAACATCGACAAGCAATGTCAAGCACAACCACAAGGCTGTATCACAAGCTGCTGAAGCTCTCGGGATTCCACCTTCATCTCAGTCTCGCTGAAGGCAAGAGGTCTCAGTCGATGCAAGTGCCTGCGTTGAAAGCAAGATACACCCGAGGCTGTGTTGTGCGCTGCTCCAAAACTGGACAGCGATTGGCTTGGCCTTACGGCATCACACTTTCATCATGGAGAAAGTGCACTGTCTTTGACTTGGTTGCCATCCTGTACCAAAACTAATTCACTACTTCAAGACGAACGGTTCGTGCACAGTGACACCGGCATTCGCGGCCTCGGCAAAGTTCTGTCCAGCAGCTGCCAGAGGATCCCTGGGATGGAAGTCTCGCGGGCTTATCGCGACACTTGGGCCACTTGGGAGGCCCACCTCAACATCGAGAGAGCTCACAACACATCTGGGGCCTTGAGATCTTCATCGGCCACTGACTTACCCGGATGAGCAACTTAAGACCGGAGCCGAGACATCAAGGTGTCGACAAATCATAGTACTCAACAGCCGCGAGTTTCCGCCCTGCCCAACGCTTCATGCTTCGCAGCGCAGGGAGTGCGGCCATCGCCGTTACAACTTGTCTGACATAATTGTGCAAGGACACAAATGGTTACAGATCAACCTGCAGGGCCTTTGAAGTCTTGATAACGAGTCCTCAAACCACCACTGCTGCCAACCGAGAAATCAGCAGTACTGACGTTGATCTTCATCGTCATCACCATCACCACCGCTACAATCATCACAAAATCGTATCCTGTACCGTCATCATCCGTATCATAGCTATCAACCTCACGGACCTGCTCGTGAAGATCACTAAACTGACCAGCCACCCCTTTGCCACCAGACTAAACGGCTTCTTAGTTGATTCTTGTTCCTGAGAGGCCCGGCCAAGCTCAGGCTGCCTCTGCGAAGACTGCTTCGGGTGCAGGCCCTTTAGCGCGCCGGCGCGCGGGCATGCAGTCCAAGCCTCAGCTATTGAAGTCTGAATTTTGGGACAGCCGGCAAGCGCAGAACAGCAGCACGAATCCGAAATACAGTTGTTCAGAACAAACTACCACGACACGCGATGGCAGCAAACTACAGCCCGAGCAACCAGCAAGGCCGGCTGGCACGGTTTCCATCCATTTTCTCCGAGCAAGATACACAGGTACTGAGACTTCACATCACCCAGACCTGCGGCACTGACCGTGAAAGGCTGGAATATGCTGGAATTGCATTGGCACACCTGCATCTTCATGCCACAGCTAAACTCCGGAAATCGGGAAACCCCAAGATGGTGATGCAGGTGCGCGCGACCGCAAAGCTCCCGCATGCCTCATGCAGCCTGCTTACCAAGCTGCAACACAAGGGAGGGCGGACGCTGCAGCCCGATGACTTCCGCATACGCCCTGCTCAAGTAGGTTGCGGACTGCACGCCGCTGTAACAGGGGCGAATGCTTTTGAAAACACTATGACGAGGGCAGCTCGCCAGACACATCTGCAAGACGTGATTTACGTCCCGAGTTGGGTGACTGAACTGCTGCGGTTGCGCTGCACATACTCTCGCGGCTTGCCACCGAATCAGACCTTTTCTTGACTTTGCCACGCCGGAGCACCTTGCGCAAACGAATGTCTCCTCAGGCTGCAACAGGGCAGTAGATTTCTGGAAGCAAACACTCAGATGTTTCATTGCTTTCTGACACCATTTTGACGTATATAGTATACCCGTCAAGCAGGTGCTCGGAATCTTTCTGCCAGCGAGCAACGTAGTCTCAGACAGATCTCGCCGGTGGGTCTTCCATCTTCGCCCCGACATTTCTTCAGATCCGACTGCCTTCTGCAGGGCTCTTGACAACTAACTGTCTCGGAGAGCGCGTAAGTGTGTGCTTTTGCGCGCTTTTGCATCTCGTGTGAGTGTGAGTGTGTGTGTGTGTGTGTTGGCTCTGTACAATGGTGATGATGATGATGATGGTGATGGTGATGATGACGACGTGCTGGTGTCGCCATGGTTGTTCAGCTTCGCTGGTGTACTTCCCCTGGGTGTGTAGCGGCTAAATTTCAGCTCGGATGCCTGGCTGCGAGAACGTTGCGCATGCGCAGTAATTGCGGAAACCTGAATAACACGATGGGTGGCGGAGAGTTGGTCACTTGCCCTTGGCCCCAGCTCTTCAGCCAGCTGCTGAACCCAGGCCAAACATCCTCTAGGATGCAGTTCTTCAAGAAGGTCCGGTCCGACTGCTTCCAGCTTCCAATGTTAAGGGACACCCGCAGGTTTGATACTTCAAGTGTCCGTGAATCAAAAGTCACACAGACTGAGCTGAAGGCATTGGCAGTCTCCTTGTTGCGGGCATGGAACTGCAGGTGCTTGTTCAATGGTGCAGCCAGCTCACCACCAAAGGAAGCTGATTCAAAGTGTGTTGGGGAAGTATCTGAGGGTGAGGAATCATTGCCCTCACCTGCACTGATGGCCCCAGGATCCATGCTTTCAGCATCGAATATGTCACCGCGTACCAGATTTAGTGCTACGAGGAAGAAGTAGCCATCGCTCTGGAGAGCGGGCACACTGCATAGTCGCAGATTCACTTCAATTTGCCTGTGGGGCGGTCGCAGCTTCGGTGTTTGTTGCAATCCTACTCCGAACCTACTCCACTCAATGAACCATCCCAGGAGCGTTTTTTCCTTGCTTTATTCTCAACATCGACCTTAAGACAGTGACACGACTTTTGCTTGTCGAAAAATTTACTGCTACAAAGAGGACTTCTGCTCCAACCTGTTCGCCACGTTCAAAGACACCGTTGCTGCCAGCGCGTGGTACTGCTGCCGCTTTCCGAGCTCCAAAGCATGCGTTGAGGACTCGATGAGCCTAAGTCGAAGGACTATGGCCGAAAACTCATTCAGAGCATAAAATCACAGAAGCAGAAGCAAAAGCAGTGGTGGTGGTGGTGGTGGTGGTAGCAGCAGCAGTAGCAGTAGCAGCAGCAGCAGCAGCAGCAGCAGCAGTAGTAGTAGCAGTAGTAGCAGTAGTAGCAGTAGTAGCAGTAGTAGTGATAGCAGCAGCAGTAGTAGTAGTAGTA